GTTAGAGTAACAACTGTTCGCCTGAAGTTAACACTTCACGTAAATGCTTTTCGTAAGTCGAGGTCTTCTGTGAAACTGGTCGCTAGTAGAATTTTTCTTTCACTCGATATTGCTGATCCTAGTGGCAGCCCTCAGACATACGCTAGTACCATAGAAGGTGGTGTTCTGACGTTGCTTGTTAGCCCTCACATATAGTTCATGTCGTGTGTCTGTACAAACGCATAAACCAGACGTCTGCATCACCTAATTTGGAATCATTTCGTAGATATTTTCGCATCATTGGTCATTGACCTAACCTTCTGGAGCATGGTCTCGTTGTTTTTCTTGCAATTCTCCAAACGTTATATCTGTAATTCGGTTAGAGTCCAGTTAGACAGATTGTGGTGTAAATACTTACATCAAATTTGACAATCTATGGTCTGGATTCGTTTATATCTTCAATGCGATAGATCGAGGATGACGTGGCAGGCAACGAAAACAGTTTCGGGCTTTGTATTCCATAGCCCTTAAGGACAGGGTAGAATTATATTGTAGATTTGCTATCGTTTACTGGGCGTACTTTTTGCTATGGTTAAACATTTACTACGATTTCTTCGGGCAAGGAAAATCTATATACGCGTGAAGTATATGGCTCGTAAATCAGTGAATTTAACAGAATCTATTATGAAACATTATTACTAAGCATTATACCGCAGGTGAAAAATTACGGGCAAATGTCAAAATATATACAGCTTTAGGGTCAAGGTGTTTACGCCATGAATAGACTGCAGCGCGTTGCTACTAAAGCAACAGAGGTCAGACTCTTTTGATTGTAGTCGATGACAGGAAGCATAATATTAAAACGACATTAAAAATTCAAGCAATAAAAAATTTCGATCTTTTTTGCTGATCATAAAATTCGGGCTGAAATGTTCAAGCAGACCCATAAATAACTGAGGACCTGCATGAGCATGTCCTGTCACGCTTAGATAAGACTTACTCCATGGGGTCGACCAAAATTCACTGGAATTGACTCGAATCAATTAGATTAAAAGGAGAGTTTCTGCGCTTTGTTACTGAATTGAAAGCAGCACTTCTTTCTCTATTCCTGCGACAATAATTTTTCATGGTGTGTATCTCTTGTTGTCGTTCAGGACGCTTTCGCCACTCGCCACCAGCAGTGTATGTGGTCATGCTGGAAGGTAGCGGTTTCGTCTGGAAGAAGTTTCCCAACCATGTTTCAAGTTACCGATCTTTGTGGCAGGAAGGGCCGCGAAATTGACTGCCCAGTAAACGAAAATGGTCACAGAACTGTTAGTGTAAAATTCGGTAAGGTGTGCGAAGTCCAGGAGAACAGCTTTGCTGTGTAGGTTCATTCGTCGGGTCTTTTTTCTCATGCAGGTTGGCCCAAAAAGTAATATGCCTATTAACGGTCTTATTCGTTTTCAGTGAATTAGGCCCCTACAATATCACAACATAATTTTTTATCAAAGCTTTCCTCTTCTCCTGGGGCTCCTCATTTTCGAAGAATGCGTGGTTGACGTTCAGACACCACTTCTCCTTAATCCTGTCGAAAAATCGGTTATCCTACCCACGTGACGTTCAATATTAGGCGAGATGATTCTTCGTTGGATTCAGAAGGTTCATGGGGTACTAAAACTGCAATTTTTTTGTATAAATTCTAGCAACTTGAGGTGGTTAATGACGGCATGTGTGGCTGTGGCCCATCTTTTTGGTTACAATTTTCAAGTTGTCTGTTGGCCGTCTTTCTTTTGAAGTGTCCTTAAATGATCGCCATTTAGTCGGCGGCCAGAGCGGGGAGCACTCTTTAGGTTTCGGGTATTGTTTTTAAGCTTAGACTATTCTTTAGCAATTCTTCTAGCGATAGCTCCGTTAGTATACACAAGGTGAACGTATCATGATGCTGTTTCAGTAGTGTTTGGCAGTAGTGTTTGGTTAATGAAATACATAGTACAGAAGGTGTCAATGATGTATTTTGTCCCGCTTCGAATATCCATATTTGAAGAGTTCTTTTGAATAAACATTTCATTCATAACACAATACCGTTACAGCCTACTATCAGAGCAGAAGGAGCGACTTCTAACGGTACGTTGCAAGCGAAGGGAATTTAGAAAGGGAAATTTTTTGAAGCGCGGAAATTTTCTTTCCAATCCAATATATATATATATATATATATCAAACATAAACAAGTTAAAGTCAAAATGATACTGTTGCGTTTTTTTTTTTTTATAACTTTAGTCTCAGCTAGGAGCACTTAGCACATGTTTGTTACTCTAAATAGTTGCTTTAGAAGAAAAACATTAACCTGAACTAATTGCCAATAGTAAATATCTATACCCGTTTCGAGGTGAAACGCCTATTAGTGTTTATAGACTTAAATTTGCGATTTCTTCCAAAGTCAGCGAATTTAGCTGAAGTACATGTCATCCCTCGTAAATCATTTGTAACATCATCTATTGTTACAGCAGGCACTGGAAGCGCATTTAACTGGTCGTAGATTTGAAGTCGGATGATAAGGCACTGAAGCGGCGCCTTCGTAATCCTAAGAGAAAAATCATAAAATTGCTTTCTAAAAGGTATAAGGTCTCTCCAGCGTACCTGCTTTGGAACAAAGGAAATGCGCAACGTTTCCACAAATTCGCTGCTTTTGAACCCGCGCTCCATTTTCCGTAATAGGGATTTTTGCCTAATCCGTAATAGGGCACTAGGATTTTTGTGCTGCCACTTTATTTTTTGTATTATACAAAGCCGGTCAGTAAATCGGGCGCTGTCACCCACGATTCAATGTGTGTTTATCGTTGACGTTTTCTGTGTTAATTAGCAAAAGTTTTTTCACCGACGCTGTCGGATACTTCGAGGATCTTGACAAGATCGATCCGTATCGTTCTTGGTTACCGTTACCGGTAAATTCACCGACTCAGCAAAAGTTGTTTCTATTTCGTGAGCTATTACGAAATATTTGATACACACGTTCACGATAAGCGTCTTCACCTTAAAGACTGAGCTTCAGAAATATTTTTTAGAATCGTATATATATAGATTGTATTATAAATATAGAAGATATAGATTGATTTGCTAAAGGTAAGAAAATACAGGTTAGAACATTCATACGTTAGACTGTACGGTTTGCATAAGAATGGATTTCTATACGATGAAAGTTATTTAACTAGGTGAAACATTCAAACGCTAGCAGAGCTTCCCGTTCGCCCTAAGCTTTGCTTGCTTTACTCCCTCGTTAAGACCTTCAAAGTTTATTAGTTATCATAAGTTCCTAGCTATCGTGAATATCTTAACCGGCTTGACTTCTTCTTATATTTCGTTTGTATTTTCCCGCAGTGACTTTATTTTGGATACTTTTATTAGGAAAAAAAAGGCGTCTAACTATATAAAGCTGCCTATAGCGTAAATCTACAATCGGAAAGCAAGTTTAGAGATCAATAATGTACAACTGACCTCTGCATTCGTGCAAAGTAGCATTAGTTAAAACTTGCTATTCAACCCAAACAAGTATTCTGTTTTAACTTCTCCAGACGATATCTACAGTAAAGCACCCCTCAGTGCCTCTATAGTTTATAATCTATAGTATATATATTCACAAGATAAGGTGCCAAAGCTTAAATTGAAGAATCAACCTTTGACTAAAAGATTTCTTATAGTTAGGAGAAAAAAAAAAGCGATGCGCAGCCACAAATGTAGGCTTTTAAAAGTTGCTTAAAACTTTTTTAAAAGTTTAAACTTTTGTTTAAATTCTTGCCGAATTAAAGTTGCAGTTAAAGTTGGCGTAGACACACTTGACATCGCCCCGCGTCATGCGTCTGTGGACCGCTCAATGAAAACAGGAACGCTTTGCATCTTGATATTGACGCTCAACGTAGCTGGGTTCAACTTAAAACAGACTGCTCCCAGTATTCGATAATCAAAACGTACTATTAGTTTAGACTGTTATCTAGCTGTTCGCTCTATAAGTGATTTCTGTTTGAGGCAAGTGTAAGAAAATTATGACAGATCATGGGTCAAAGTTGAAGTCTTTTTTTTGCCTCTTTGCCATTGTCACTAAAAGTACGAGAGCAAACAACGCGGCCATTTGCCGCTTGCACGATTCATTACCATTCATATTGCCTTTGAGCCAGTGGGTGTAGCTTTAGGTGGCGGTGATAAAATAATTAGTTACCTATGGACAATTAATTAGCAAATAATTGTTTGTGTGATATTATCCTCTTCATGTTGAACGACCGGAGGTACCGTTTCCTATATTAGAGACATAATCTCGACGGCCGGTCTTATCGGGGCGATTGTTTGAACCGGCAAGGAATAGGGCATTGATGACAATTGGTCTTATTCTGTCTGCCAATACATACTAATATTTATGCGTCCATGTTGTCATATTATATAGGGATGATTGCATATGGGCAGGGTTGCATGTTAGCATGCACGGTTCGCGTCAAAAAACGGCATTTACACTCCTTATCCAGCCGCTTCGGCCCTGCTCATCGACGCTTTGTCGTGTGTGCGATCGACTAGCGACACCAAGCAAGCCGTAGATGGATGAAAAAACTTACGTAGTTCGAATGCCTTTACAACGAGCTAAAGAGACAAGAACAACGGCCGCGATAGGCTGGGGGGTTGGACCAGGCAAGGCATTGCTCCTTAGCTTTAGTTTAAGTCCAGTAACTGTTATCGACGTTGACACTAGTGAAATTATTACAGCTTAGTAGAAGCAAGCATCACCTTTGTGCGGGTGATGATAGCTAGTCTACAAACCTTATCAGCCACAATGGGAGTCTCTAGCTGACCGTGATGCTCGTTCCCTTGCGGTCGAGACGGTGCCGGCGACGTCTGCCGTTTTCGGATCTCAGGGTGAGGGACGCGAGCGCTCGGCACGATATGGGGAAAGGGCCCTATCCTATAGCAGTACCAGAGGATGCGTCCTTTGGATGCAGTCACTGAAATAGAGTCGATAAAAACCTCTGTCTCCCTCACGGCGGCCGCTATAACTGAAGACTGTAAGAGAAAAACGAAATTACGAATTTGTCGCATTTTCATCATAGCCTCTTTTAGTTGCTGTCGTGACTTGTCCGCGGCTGCTGTTATATTGATTTTCCCCAGAAAATCGACACACGCGGTGATAGTCGAACTCAATTGTTGCGCGCAACTTTGATAGTGGCCGCGCTGCAAACTTGTAGATTTCTATCTTTGTTACTGAAGCCAATGATTTAATTTTTGAAAAACGACGTACTCTGTTTGAATAAGTCAGCTAAATAGACTGATCTGTCTGTTCGGACGGCCAACAGAAAAGCTCATTTGTCACAACGGACTACAACAATTGTCTATACGATAAATGCACTAAGAATCTACGGCACGCAAGTACTAGTATTATTAACTTACCTAAAAGTTAAATATCATTTATTGGATCTGTTTTCGGGAAAAACTTTAAAGCTTTGGTCACAGATTACCCAAGAAGTAGAGTGTTGCGAGTTTTCTAGTGTACTTATATGTTGGAATCCAGTGAGCGGATGCCGTGCATGTAATTAATATCTACCAAATACAGACCGATAGAGGTAAGTTGACTTATGCATTAAATCACTTTGTAACCGTTTGATCATATCTAATAAAAAAAATTACAGGTACACTTAAGCCAGGTGCAAACCGGCACGCGGCAAACTGCCCCTCAAGCACAGGTCGCTCGTACTATGACTGTGATAAGGCTTCCCTACCTAGAAACTAGGTCTGTAAAGATGAGCGATTCCACTGGCAATGTTGATTTCTAAACGCAAACAGATATGACTCAAAATCGTGCCGGCGATACGGAAGACTGAATTGATCAAAGAAACTAACTATTCAGCTCCACACTTTCAATAGGTTAAATAGACTTCTGTTTTACACATGACTCAGTGTCACCTTAAAGTTCCTGACCCCTTTCGTAGGCGCCTTCATTCGACTACTCATTGAAAGATTTTCTATCGCACTCTCTAGGTTTACACGGAGTTCAAAAGGCAAATCTAAGGCGTTCTTTTTTGTTTTTCATCCATCGGAAACCACAATCTGTCATATTTAAAAAATAGGCCAAAAGCCATCTGATTCAAAAAAGCAATGCGTTCAAACCCTGCTAATATAAAAAAAAAAAACAAAAGATTATTAAGATATGTAAGATAATATTTGGTAGTGAGCTTTCTTGCGTTGCATCACATTGTTAGATGTTAACATATATTCGTCATAGCTGTCGACCAGTTTTGATACTTCCATTGATCGACATTATAGAGCAACATTGCCATTTCCCAGTCTAACAGCTTACAATACTGACTACATGTTTTTACGCCCTTCTTTTTCTTCGTCTGTTAGATTGATGAAGATGACAACTGCCATTCACAGTTTGGCCCCGTGGATTCTGTTCTCTTATCATTTGCCCCTTCCACAGTTGATCCCGTACAAGTAACAACGGGTCGGGACCATTCAAACGCTTTTCGACTGTCATTTCTTTTGCCGCTTGTCGCCAGCTTCCGATACAAAATTTTAGTCTCTTGCCTAGGTTGGTGATTAGAATTTAGCATAATATCGGCGCAGAAATCGCTTCCGGTAACAGCCAACCCAATCCATACTTTTTTGTGATTTCGATATTGCGATCACCAGGACGATAGAAACGTTAATACTGATCAGTAAGGTAGTACTATTTCAATCAAACACAGATGAAGTGTTTCAACTTAATAAATAGCTAGCTATCTGCCTATTGGCAGATGGTTTTAGGAGTGGTGTTTTTACCTCTTCAAAGCTGGCTTTGGAAGACTGCAAACGACACAGCAACGGGAAAAAATCCTATTTTTTTTTTTGGATCGCTTGTGTCAACTTCTGTTCCGCTATGCTCGGCTGCATTTGCATGTAAAAACGCTACATGTTAACCGTACCATAAGCTTATTTTACGTTTCCGTTAGTGATTCTTATTTGAGCATTGATAGCAGCTAGTTCAGGCGGATGAATGCCGCTTGTTTTAAACGGCTCAGCCTTAAAGAATTTTCGCAAATCGATACATGAAGTATCCGAAGCCAAGTCCGAACTCAGCGTTAGTGAGAGAGCTGTTTTGTTGTTAATTCTCTACTAACCAGGTAAAGTACTGAAAGAGATAGATGTCCATTCGAGCGCGTATTCAGGATAAACTTAAACCTATATACAGTTTACATAGGAGCTGCAGTAAATGTACGTTTCCGGTTAGAAATGCAGCAAGCTTCAATGCGGTCAAATTAAAAGTCGATTTGTCAACTTATGCTTTTCACGAGAGCATATGTGCTTTGCCTTTTACCTGTAGCCCCATCGCTCTACCCGGCACAAGTATTTCCCAATCGCTGGGCCAAAAATTTAAGCCCACAGATAACCGTTCCCCACTGAACTGTAGTCAACATCTATTTCGGAAGAACGAAGGACGCGATAGCAAACAGAATGTATTACATCGTACTGTCGTTACCCATTAGCGTGCGAATACGAATTTCCGTATTAACGCACCCGGATAATCGCCAACGACGCATTGAGGGAGAAAAAAACACTTTTTTTCGGGATAATTGGTTAGATCACCAGTGGAACTGATACGGGAAGTCGATGCAGGGAGAGTAAGGATCTTGTCATTGTGTCACATTGAGAGCAGACCTTTTTATAGTTATATAACAGCAGCATCTCTACTTTGAAGAGGTGGCCAACGTGCGTAGGAAGCTCGATCCGAGAGAAGCTATTGTTTGATAACCTTTTTTTTCTTCTAGAGCTTACCATTTTTTCGAGTAATTTTTCCAACTATTCTATTTCATGATATACATTTTTTTCAACTTTGCTAGTGTAGAATCGGTACGATTGTTCCGTTGAGGCTATCAGTGCTAGATAACAATATACGAATGAGGGGTTTCTTATATAGTGGAAATATGAACGTTTATATAAGGGCTGCGTAACAATCTGCCCTACATAGAAAAAAAATAAATAGTTTTTTTTTAGAGAGTAGTAATATGTTTCTTGTTCTAGTTGTGTTTTCAGCAATCACACGAACCAGGATAATTAAGCTAAAGAAAATGATCTCAGCGCAAAAATCAGTGAAAACGAGCAGAAATTCTAGTTTAATACAACACAAATAACAATACAACATAAACAGTAATTACCTGTATCAGCATCAATAATATTTGCTTATAAAATGGAACTTTAACAGTCATCGTAAGCCAAGACTACCGTACAGTCACTCTCGCAGTATGGCCGCGAGGCCCGAGGTGAAAGGAAATGAACGAACTCGATAAGACTTCCCTAGGTCAGCGCCCGTGCACTATTATCCGTACTAGAAAAATTGCTCGGATGAAAATAGCCAGGACTTTGTATCTGATCTAACGTGGCCAAAGTGAACTTCTCATAATTAGAAGCTACTACGTGAACTTTTTTCTCTTCGTACACACCATTTCTACCGCTGGCCTGGACGTTTAGATACGTATGTGATGAATATATTGGATAGTAAAAGCCTGTACGAATTATAAACAAGAACTAAAATAGCTTAGTTTAAGAGAGAAAAACGGCTCTTATTCGGTGTAATCAATGTATTTTTGCCTAATGAAAAGAAAATAAGCGAAGACTGGCGTATTCTCGAGCATTTCGATTAGGAAGCGTCCAGTACACCCTGAAACTACATTTTTAAAGGGCTTATTCCTTCATGATGTCTATTGCCACCAGTGTACTTAAGCTAGAACAATATACAGCTTAGATATATCGTGGAAATTAGCGAGCTCCTAAACGCATAGTTTGTAATCGTTTTGTGCGATTTTTTAATCTACAATTAACGGAGGCACCTACGGTGTCGCTTCAGTGTCTCAAAAGCCAGGATTTACAGATTCGATTGTACATTTTGGAGACGAAAGGGTTGGGAAGCGGTACTGACATTTTCAATTGGTCTGATATAATCTTCTGGAAGACACAGGTTCAGTGCATATTGCGTTTCGGTGCCCCATTCACGGATCATTTCAGGGATCCATTATTATCTCACGGGCTTGATTTCAGTACTGAGTCTCTGTTTTGCTTTCATTCTAGCCAGCTGGTATTATATGCAGAACTTGTTTCTATGCATATTACTTTGCTCCTTTGGCGGATTTGGCGGGGAGGATGGGCAGGCGATCAGGCAGGATATAAATTGCTCTTTTCCGATTTATCTATAACTGGTTACAAAGACTTTTTCATCGCTATTTTTTGCCGCCTTGCCAAGCAGCTGAAGGAACGAATTAAGCAGCTTTGTCGTCGGCACCAGCATCAAATGAACCGAATCATGTTATTTCAGATCTTCTTTTTTGTCATTTTTATAAGAGGCAGCGACGTTTAAGCAGCACGTGCACGTGAAGACAGTCTACCCACCCGCGGAACGTTATTGAGCGGTTGGCATCGTCGCTGGAAAACGTCAACCAGCAGCAGCGACAACGGCGAGTGGACGGCGGTGCCACAAAATTAGTCCCAAGAGACCGCTCTTTCGTCAGCGGGCGTTCAGGACTCTAACAGAAGACGATAAAGAAATTTGCCGGTTTCGCTTTTTCCAGTGCGTTTACCAATGATAATAGACGGTGTAATGATGACGATGATGCTACTGCCACTCTTGCTGATGGCGATGACTATGCGGCTATGATACATTTCAATGGTATAATCCTCGGATTGAAGACTTGACGTACCTAGTTGCTTATCGTAACACGCCAGGCGTATAACAGTAGTGCAAAGTTTGTACCTTTCCGGGCTGCGTCGGATAGCAAAAACCCGCACAGCAGCAAAGCTGCCATAAGGTCGAGCTGGGTCAGAGATTTCAAACATAGAATATGCATGAATTTGTATGCGCGTGCGTGGATATAGGTACATTTATGTGCGGTCGTGCCGCGTACATTTCGCACACGAAACGAAAAAGTAGACGGCTCCTTCGGTACTAAGTAACACACTTGATTTAAGATTCTAAATTAATTTTCTCCCTCGTACACTACCGTTGCTGCTTCTATATATTTCCTATTTTTTGTTTACTGTTCGTTTCTTGGTTCAATGAAGCACTAGCTCAATATCAGGGAAAAAAAAAGCCAAAACAATTGACACACTCTATTGTATGTCTTTTTAGTCATGATGGGACTTTTCATTTATGCCGAAATCAAGCCAATGTTAAAAATCAGAGGAATGAATAAGGCATCGGCGATTATCTCCGACATCGAAACGCTACTTCTATCGGGGATCCGGTGATGAACCTGAACAAATAGACTAGCACAGCGATAAAAGCGAGTCCGACCAAAGAAAACGAGATCGATGTAATATCTGAATCTGAATCGGGCTTTATCGACACTCACTACCGCTATCATAATGAACCGCGTTTCGTTTTAATTTAATTAAGCAAAAGTGAAAAATGAACAGGGTTTTCTTTGGTTTTAATAAAATTATTTATGCTCGTCGAACAATGAAGAGAATGTTATCTGTGAAGTTCGTCAGGTGTCAATGTGACGGAAAACCTTTATATATATATATATATATATATATATATATATATACGAATTCAATTACCCAGTACTGATCGTTTTTACTACTTGGTTTTTTAAGCCATGGATAAATTCGGTTACGTAGACTATTAACGACGTCAATACAACTTATAACACAAACAATATTCTTTTTCTGTAGGCTGAGATCTGCATGCGTTGGTAGCCCAGAAGTAGGCAACGATTTTGAATATGTGAGGAAACATGATGATATGTCGACTTTTTTGAAACGGTTGACCAAATAGCTTTGTCAATGAAAGGGCATACATTATGAAGCACTAGCTATATAGGTGATCAAGGATTATGGCTGTTGTATATAATTCATCACGTAATCCCTACAGGACGAATCTGACGAGTGCGTCACTCCTAAAACTGCAAGAGCTTTCATAGCGTCATGGGCCTACAAACGTGAGTTACGACAGCCCAAAATTGTCGAGCATTTTTGTCTTTTTTTAATACTTCGATCTTATTAGCCCTACAATTTGACTATTAAATTATATGGATGAGTTCAAATCTGAGATAGGCTACGTTGTAAACCGCTTTCCAGCAGAAATAACATCAACGAAGACACAGAGCTGTTTGTTATTGACGTTCTTGATTTCGTTAGATACGCAGGCCTACCAAACGTCCCCATTGGTTGTTCATGTAAAGAATAACGTTGTTTCTTTTGCCAATGTTACTCAATAGCCTACGAACAGACGTTATAGGTGCTTTCCTTACCTTCGCGATCTACTTCAGCCAAGCGCATTTTACCTGCCTACAATCAAGTACTTACGCAGGACACATCACCTGCCAGAGACGAAATCCTTACTGCCAGATCGTTGACGACCATCGCTTAGACGGACAGGAACGTCAAGAGATTTTGTTAGCCCACAATCGAATCCGGCGGGAAGCAGCCAAAGGTTTTCTGCGAAGATACGGACTGCCGGCTGCCGCAAACATGAAGAAGCTCGTAAGTATTAACTAGGCCAAAATAAGATAAAATGATTTGTCTACTTTTGAAAGCCGACTCGACGCATACGTAAATGTGCTCGGGTGCCGTGCGACAAATAAAAGTACGTGTAATAATCAATACGTGTTCTCTTAGCGGGCTGGATAATAAACTGGCTAGTCGGCGACAGTCCGTGTGTGAAATGTTAAGTGGTCCTTTTCTTCTAGGAATGGGACGACGATCTAGCCAACAACGCACAGGCCCATGTGGAGGTGACCTGCAAGCTAAAGCACGACCATCCTAACCAGCGCACTACAGGTAACCCCTGCAGCACGGATGAGCGTATACGAAATACGTCAACTATTTACCTAGGCTGTAGAGAGATTTCATAGAAGACCACTATCCATTTTCCCGTGCATTTGAAGCATAGAAGTAGACTTTCAAGTCCAGGCAAAGCTATATTTATCCGATAATTAAAGGCGTGTTCATGTCCACGTACGAGAAGAGAATCCGATTCCCACTAATCGTCAAATATCATCTGATCTTCTGATCTGAACATTATCTTTTTCATTCGCTCTACAGGTTCTTACTCTGATGTCGGCCAAAACATATATATCACTGAAGTGTGGAATCAAAAGTTGGAGCCGGACACCTGGGGCGTTGTTGTCGAGGAACTGTGGGGCCATGAGGAAGCCGCGAAACTCCACACAAACTCTTTTGGCCGGCGTCTTACACTTCAAAAACACGATCTCAAATCTATCGGGCATCTCACCCAGGTACGTCACTGCATGGACGTGTTACGAACACTAGTGACCCTCGATAAAACTCGTATGAAATATGTCACACAAGATTACGACACCTCGGATTCGCTTAAACGGGTACATTAATCAGCCTGGTAGCGTAACAATAACAATATCGTTTTCGTTATATCAGCTTCTCTGGGCAGAAACCGAAAAAGTTGGATGCGGTAAAATCGTTTTCGAGGGCACAAATGGGGCAACAAGTGATTTGAGGACGTGTGATTATGGCGAAGGGTGAGTGTTTGGATCCGGCCGGTGTCGATACCGTTTCAAAATTGTACCTGCGAAAATTGACCTAGTTGTGACCTATTCGGCAATGTATCTGTGTCCGCTACCTTAGAATATAGAATATACTAGTACTCATATCGAGCATCAGTTAAATCTCAGAAAAGATAATGCTTTCAACCGGCAAAAGTAGTTCTTATTCATCTTTTCAATAATAGCTTATATATATATATATATATATATATATATATATATAGATATGTATACACCAAGAACATATGGTACATATAGATCTATATATATGGTATACTTGATAGAGATATTGTCGAAATGCTGCAAGTGATTGCTCTGTTTAAAGGAAAAGAGAGTTTATATATTTTCGCATAGCATTTTTCGATAATCTGGCTCAATAGTGAGATCTTACTGAAAAAATTGTTACCAAGAATTAATTTTTTCATTGATATGTTTAATGATGACAGGGGCAACGTGATCGGCGGCAAAATGTATATAGAAGGCGTCGCATGCAGTGCGTGCCCTGACTCACATCCTTATTGTGACGACGGTTTATGCTCACGAATTCCAGGATATGGTCCCACCCACTATAGTTATACTCAATCAACTGATCAGAGCTATGCGCCTTCATATCAACCAGCGATACAGCCCCGAAGAACTTCATTTTGGTTGGCAGCTCCTGCGCGAAGATTCTATGCAGCCACTAACGTAATTCAAAGTTACCGAACATCGCATCTACCTGCACAGATGAATGTTGGATAGACTAGCGGAAGGCATAGATATGGTTCCATGACGTTTGCGTTCCTTTCAAGGCTCGTGAATGTATTAGGCCTAACTCGAATAGAAGAAGCTCTTAAAGTCTCAAATACCTCTTGTACTGCATTAACCTTAAGTGATAGCACTTATTATTTCCGAATATTCCTATTAACTCAGTAGGAATGGGAAATAGGCCAGTAGTCCTGTAAAAAGAATTGTAGACATTTCTATTAGTGCAACACAGTTGATTTTGATTAATTATTTATATTCGAATGAAGGTAACCTTTTAGCAAAGTCTGTATGCCTACAGGCTACGCTATTGTCTTTGTGATTGGACTATTTCTGTTAACCTAACATATCGCAGCATTTACCGTATGTTTTTATGCAGACGGCCCATTACTATACCAACAGCCGGAACTCGCTTACGCGATACAACCCCTACGTACAACGTCATCAACTGCCACAATACGATCAGAACACGCACATCTACCAAGGATACACCGTGTTACAGAGGAAGCGACGCAGGACAATTTCATCAGATCGCGGTCAGCGACGTACCAGCATTCTGTAGAGGCGTTCGATGCTGCTCGAGTGCTAAAAATGTGATGGTTTGACCGAACCAATTTATAGTGCATCGAGTTCTTTGGCTGAACCGAAAGAAAAAAAGTAACATTGATGACCTTATTAGTTAATGTATGTGTACACGTGTTGGCTATGCAAAGAATGACAATCGTTTTATATGTAACCGTAAAGCCATTTATGATAAATAGGAAGTTGGGTCGAAGACTCACTTTATATAAAGCCTAGCGCGCATACGCAGCCTTAAGCATGCAAAACACCGCCTTCGAGACGGGTTGGCAAATTGCCCCGTCTCCTGCCTCCCCACTATGTATGGCCAGTTAATTCTGCATAGGTATCTATCTCGTCGTGGGTAAAAGTCTATTGATGGCTAGAAACGTAAGGAAATAAATGAGTTATTGCTATTTCAAGTTGGTCAGTTTTTAGTCTCAGGGTGTCCTTTACCTGTCTGATAAATAGGTAATAACTTAGAACCTAACGCTGGCCCAATGGCATCGCTCTATTTTACATTTAAACGTTACTTTGAAATCAGTCCTTGTGCTCGCAATATAACCATAACAACAATAATAATTATTATTGTTATTATTCTGGGACCCGAAGATCTGCTCAAGACACGTCAGGAAACACAAATCAGAAGAAAATATTCATTTTCCATATAAAAATTTCCCTATAAAACTAGATATACGCGTGCAGAGAGTCAAGATTTCACTGTATGTAGTAACGGGATAGAAGTGCATAAATTGCATGATAGTAGATAATTATAGGAAAGTTTTGCAAATCTTTGTTTAATTTTGAATTATTATCTTCGAACCAAGCTAATAAGTATTTAACGTAGATACAACGAAGTAACTATCTAAATTTTTACATAGTGTAATACGTTAGCGAAGTCTCACTACGTATGTATATATA